ACAGCACTAGTTAAACTCAAGGGGTTATTTATAAGAAAAACAGGGAGAAGAGGCATGAAGTTGGGAAGGAGATGTAGTGGTGAAAACACTATAAGGATTTGGAAGGAGGTAGTGATTGATGGTTATGACCAGAGTGCATCATACAAATGAGTGAATTTTTAATAAATAAATAAAATATAATTTAAAATAAAAATACAATTATAAGTTAACAGATCTAATGATTTCTTGCTGAAAAATTATCACCAAGAGGTATTTCAAAAAAATAATAATCACTGAACAGAATCCCTTAATTTTCATGCCATTCCCTCTGCCCCTATAATCAATTAATACATGCATTAATATATACTGTATAAAATTAATCTCAGTTAAATCAATCTATTTCTTATTTCCCTTCTCAGACAGTAATACAATTAACATTATGATCCTATTTCCTCCTTTGCTGTTACTTTGCATGTCTCTTTAAGTCTAATTTACAGAACAAGCTACAGTGTGAATAGAAATATATTTCTGCCTTAAAATTTTGATTCTGAATATTCCATAAATAGCTATCACTAGCATGATTTTCCATTACAATTCCCTAAGTTTGCAGGTATCTACATATTCAGTCTCTGTCATTAACATCTAAAATTTAACAATACTGCTAGAGCACTGGTCTTTAAACTATAGGTTCACAGATGGAATCATGATGAAACCCCAGAACAGAAGAAAAGCTTTTTTGTTTGAATGCAGAAAGATGAAGGTTAACAACAGGAGTCTTTGTAAATGTGTCATTCAGAAACATATTTGAAGCATGGGCAGGGATATCTCTTTAGTTTATGAATTCAAACAGCCTGTAAGGAAAAAAGAAAGCTGGAACCTACCAGCTGCTGGAGATATTTCTTTGAACAATCCCTCAATAAAGATTTGTTTATATGTTAACCCCCCCTAGCATAACTTTACTACTGGAGTTAAATGATATAATACATCAGAATTAGCCAGCACAGTGTTTAGTGATGCTAGGAGGGGATACAAAATGTCCATTTTATTTTTGAATATGTACAAATAAGCATCCTATTAATAGGCCAAACACAATGGAAAGAGCCCACCTGAGTCTAATTACTTAATCCTGATATGCTTGTTAATCATAGTTCGAACCTTTAATTACTAAATGTTCTCAGTGTGCTGAAATTTACACATGATTAAAATATGAATCAATAATTTTATAATCCATACTAGAAAGATTCTATGACAGTTGTTAGGAGAGCATAAACTGGAATACATAAAAACATGCATATTATTATTATTGTTACACTAATCATAGACATTATATAGACTACAGCTGTCCTTGAAATCTACTACTTAAAATGGTGATAGCATAGTCTTATCAACATGCAATTATGTAGAATGCATGAAAGTGATAATGTTTCTTTTAATTTAAGTCATGCATATTTATGTGATGGCCATATTTCTACAAAAATGATTCTACAGTAAATATTGATGAAGGTATTTGCATAAGAAAATCAAACTGGGATGGGGACAAAGAATAAAACCAAAGACAAGAAACAAGATACAAGTCCATGTAAGTCACTTTATAGAAATGTTTCTTACTCATCTTTATGAGTTTTTCGTTGAAGATACACCTGATTTTATTGCCTTATTTCAGTTGTGATTTTTTGCCCCTGTCAGGAAGGTATCAATGATGAGGACAGTTTATGTAATGAAATACTTAGAATTACTGAAACATGTGTTCTGATCAAATATTCCCTGAGCAATTATTTCTTAAGCAGTCCACTAGGCATTGCAGAAACACAGATGAGCTTTGGTTCTCTGGTTATAGCACATTTTTGTCCTGAGTGTATGATTTATCTTTACTTACATAGGCATCACACTTTCATTAAGCATTTACAGGGGCAAAGGATAGGAATTCCAGTGGGACTTCACAGCACTAAGAACATATAATTTAAATCATCCTTAGGTTGTGAGAAAGCTTGCTGAGCACTCGAAGCAATATTTGATTGTAAGACATTCTCAAGGCTTATCTGACTTACTCATCCTTCTCCCAAATTCATTCTCTCTCTCTCTCTCTCTCTCTCTCTCTCTCTCTCTCTCTCTCTCTCTCTCTGTCTCTCTCTCTCTCTCTCTGTGTGTGTGTGTGTGTGTGTGTGTGTGTGTGTGTCTATCTTGCATACTTTCTTATTTCCAACTCTGGTCTTCCAATTGCCTAGTCTCAAAATCTGTTATTTAAAGCTCTTTTCTCATTCTCTAATTCTAGGCCTGTTTGGCTCAGCTGTTGAGCTCCAAAATGTTTCTTACACCCCGTTCATAGATTTTTTCAGGCTGTGCATCCTTGCTAAAATAGACTTGTAAGATGTAGTTTTTCCTCCCACTTTCCTGTGATATCATTTCCTCTTACCAGACAAAATGAAGGGTTTTTTTTTTCCAAATTGTTAATCATCTTACTTTAATTTCAGAGCCAGAATGTTTCCGTATGAGCAATAGAAAAAAACTGAACCTGTCTGGGTGTCATGTATAATACTCCACACATTCCTGAAACAGGAATCTTCTAGCTCTGCTGATGTAGAACTTTAACACATGATCCAAATCGAACATACCTTACCCTTCCCAACTTCATTTCCTTTATTCAAAAGGCTCACCTACTTCATTCTGCCTCATGGTTTCTTGTTTTCTGCCTCTATTTGGTCATACTGGACTGTGAGATGCTTGAGAAGGATTTCAGAGACAGTTGGTCTCTGTATTCCTCACTGCACTGAGAAGCTTTAATGAGTGTTTGTTCAGAGCTATTGGGATGCAGTGGAATGAAATGAAAGGTCAGTTCCTTTGGCAGGATTACACCAAACCTTCTCTGTTACATGAATGTCTAGATCATTTTTAAAGGTCATCAGATAAGGATATTTCACAATCTTGGCAACCCAAATGTTTGAAATTAACTTCAAGGAAAGGATAGGTGACTGACCTTCTAATAGGTTATTTGGTTTGTATTAATTAGCATTTAGCACAGAACATCCACTGGAGTCTGAGCATAGCATAGTGCCCATTACATTTAAAGGTTCATATTTTAATGACCTGTGAGAACAATTGTTGAGGCTGGCAATGAAGCAATGTTCAAATATCTAGGTCTGAAAAGATTTGGTAACCTAGCTGAGTAAATGAGACTCCATGTCAGCCTGACTGCTGTGGGATACAATTCTTTAGTGATAATTTTTCCTTTTGATGGAAATTCCTTCAAAGAGAAAATTCCTCTCCAATTAATGTAATCTCCAACCCACAGAACACACTTCCTCCTCAACAGTATCCCTACTAATTTAAGATAAAATTCCTTATTAGCATGACTAAAACACTCCACTTCTCTGACAGAGATTATCTGCCAGATGATTGCTGACATATTTCAAGAGTTCAGTGTAATGAGTTCTCAAGGAAATCTTCTAAATGCTCTCTTCAAAGGAACTTCTGGAAAGATTGAAGAGGAAGGTTTTTTGTTTTGTTTTGTTTTGTTTTGTTTTTGTTTTACCATGTTTTTTTTTTCAAAATTTGCAATCAACTAAAATATTCACAGCAGTCTGAATTGACCATTTTGCTGAATTTGATACTAACAGCCAATATACTTTCAATTGCTGATTGGAAGTTTCGCTGAAATTGTTGATCTTGATTGCATTTCACAAAAACAAAAATTAGAAGCTGATGGAGCTCCTAATATACCTTATAATGAAGTGGTGCTGGAATGAAGATATCAAAGTGTGTGCTCACAATTTGTACATGTGTGTCTCCAACATTCTCAGTGAACTTACTAGATTTTCAAATAGTTTATATTGTTTTTCAGTTAAGGAATATGCACTCTCTAATCAGATCAGCATTTCAATCTTTATTAACAACACTAATGTCATTTCATTAATTTTCCTATCTGTATCATGCATAAGAAACAGAAATTTTGGGGTTTGGATGTGGCTCTGTGGTGCAGGACCTGTGTAATCTATGTCATTCTATGAGGTTGATACTAGTTTTGAATAATAATGTAAAAGAAAATAGACCTGTTCATTTTCTTATAAGAAACATCAAGTGGTGCATCCAGATGGTAAGGGAAGTGGGGATGAACTGGGAGGAGTAAAGTGGGGGGAAACAGTAATCACGATATATTACCTGAAAAAAATTACCTTTAATAAAAGGAAAACAGTCTAAAACAACAACCACAACAAAAGAAATCAAGATAGTTCAATGACTTCGGGCTGTTCACTGATAGTTAAATATTCTAAGTATTATATATGGTAGGAAACGTAGCAATGCAAAAAGAGAAAAGTTAATGATTTACTTTGCTGTTGAAAGGAATTTTTTCATGTTTTTTGGTTTATACTTTATAAAATGAATCAGTGATTATTTCAATTATCGATTTATTTGAACTAATTTACATAAAAAATTAAGGCATGGAAGTCTAACACAAATGATTTCATTTTGCACTTTAAATTTAAAATACCGTGTGTCTTTCTGGTGTTTTAAATCTGTAAACACGAATCTGCCAAGGTGTATGTACATGGTTAAAATTCAGAATTGTCTTTACCCTGAGCTAGTGGGCTTATTTTTTTCTATTTTCCTTATGCATTGCACATGAATATGCTTGCAGTATAACATGTTGCATAATCAACTTGCATATAATCATTTGCTTTTTTGCTTTGAGATTATTTTCATAAAGCAATTTCATGCTCATTGGAAATGGCATATTTTTCCAGTAATGGACAATCTATTCAGATTTTATGACAATATTAGTCAAATATCTTACATTATGTGGGAACTATTTACAAGGCTTAATCAACTCTTAAACTCCCACCTTTTAAAATCACATTGACAACACCCATATCTTGAAGATGAACTTAGTAAAAACAGTGCAAAAATGAATGAAACATTATAGGTCAATTTAAATTATTGACTAGAAGCTTTCTGTCCCACCAAAAAATGTTATATATATATATCATTTTATAGATCAGAAAGAATATAGCATAACATCTACAAACCTTATGTTGTTGTACTTGGCATTTTAGGTCTTCAAGATCAGGTCCAAAGGGCTCTTCCTCCATTTTCTTTGTTCTCTCTTCTGTTTTTGTTAGCCAGTCATCCAGCTCTTTTAATTTCTGGTTCTGGAGATCCATTAGAACTTTGTGTAAACTATAAAATAAAAATTAATAACTATTATGATCTCTACTAAAGCTGTTTATTTTTAAAAAAGACACATCAACATAAAACAGATATAACAAATGGCCTATTTAAATTTTTGCATCTTAGTGTATTAAAAACTACAGGAGGAAAATTTCTAATGCTATTATTTCTTCTGGTTACAGTGCAGCTATTTTGTTCCTTAAGATATGAGTATGTATGCATATATATATATATATGTGTGTGTGTGTGTGTGTGTGTGTGTGTACAAATGCATGTATTTATATATGTATGTATACATATAGATATCGGTTTCAATAAAATTTCATTTAGCTAACAAAATGATCGCACACTAAATAAAACAACCTGTGATAGCAATGAGTGAGTAGAGGCACTTGCCCTGCAATCATGGTGAACCATATTCAATCTCTAGAATTCACTGAAATTTTGAAGGAGAAAACCAACTCAATAAGGCTGTTGTCTGAACACAAAACATATGATGTTATATACATACTCACCTATACATATGTGTGTGCACACATACACAAATATACATATTCATGCGTGCATACACAAACACACACTAATAATAATAACAAAAATTAATATTAATGATCAAATTTTAAAGTAAAGCAGAAACTCTAATAAGTAAGTTAATGCATATCATGTTTGATAGTCCTGTTATTTAGAATATACAGTAAATATTACAACCCATTTTCTTTTTTAATTTGTGAAATACAAATAAACACACATAATGCATAGATATGAGATAGCATCTGGTGCTTCAACATATATGTAATTCATAATGCATAATATGGTTGAATATTTTTTTGTAATATAATTTTTTTATAGAAAAAAATATTTCCGCCTCCTCCCCGCCTCCCATTTCCCTCCCCGGCTCCCTTTTCTCTCCCCCTCCTCCCACTCTTCTCCCCCTCCCCCCACTTCTCTTCCCCTCCCTCTCCAGTCTGAAGAGCAGTCAGGGTTCCCTGCCCTGTGGAAAGTCCAAAGTCCTCCCCCCTCCAACCTGGTCTAGGACGGTGAACATCCAAACTGGCTAG